GGTCCATAGGTGGCTTGTTGCAAGGCAAAATTTCTGTCCATATCCAATATACCCTAATTTTCAGTGACAGTCTAAATTTACCGACCTTCATCCTGCACGTCCTCTGTTACAGATCCTACTTTATAATTAATTTGTTCTCGTCTTGAATATGCATTGAATATTTTTTCCACTGGACGTTTAGCAACCAACAATCAATCATTAAAAATTGTCCGTTTATAAATTTAAAAATCATAAAGAAACTAAGGTTTCAATTCCATCAGGCAAAGTTGACCTTAGATGGATTTGGCTATTGTTTAGGTCCCTTTGGTCATAAAGCTCTACAAATGTTTCGGTTCTTCTACACCCTTGGCTTTAAAATATTCGGCTTCGAGCGTTCCGGATGAAGGTAAATCCAGAAAAGCGCTTCGAACGCATGAAATTTATAAAGTGTTGTTTTCATTTTTATACACCCGTTTACGGGACGTATTATGGTATACCGTTGTCCGTCCGTCTGTCCGTCCGTCCATCGTCAACATGTCCGACAATAACTCAAAAATGCTTTAACCAATTTACATGAAACTTTGGTGACCTGCTTATATCTATTGACGTGAGCTCCCTTTCGATTTTTATAAATTTTAGATTTTACGTTTCCGAGTTGCGGGGTTTAATTCATTAAAAAAGGGGGATTTTCCAGTTTTCGGACAATAACTCAAAATGCTGTGAGCAGTTTTCATGAAACTTTGATGAATTGTTTATATCCATTGACTTGAGCTCCCTTTCAATTTTTATAAATTTTAGAATTTACGTTTCCGAGTTATGGCGTTTTATTCACTAAAAAAGGGGGATTTCCCAGTTTTCGGAAATAACTCAAAAATGCTTTGAGCAGTTTTCATGAACTCTTGGTGAATTGTTTGTATCTACTTACGTGAGCTCCCTTCTGTTTTTATACGACCGCAAAAAAATTTGTGTGGTCGTATATTGGTATGACGTTGGCGTCGTCGTCGTCGTTGTCGTTGTCGTCGTCGTCCGGCGTCGTCCGAAGACACATTGGTTTTCGCACTCTAACTTTAGTTTAAGTGAATGGATCTCTATGAAATTTTACCACAAGGTTCAATACCACAAAAGGAAGGTTGGGATTGATTTTGGGGGTTATGGTACCATTAGTAAAGGAATTAGGGGCCAAAAAGGGGCCAAAAATAAGCATTTTTGTAACTTCCAGACATAACTTGTGTGTTAGTGTATGGATCTCTCTGACATTGTACCACAAGGTTCCATATCACAAAAGGAATGCTGGGATTGATTTTGGGGTAATTGGATCAAAATTTTAGGAATTAGGGGCCAAAAAAGGGGCAAAAAACAAGCATTTTTATAGTTTCATGACAATAACTTGTGTGTAAGTGTATGGATCTTTCTGAAATTGTTCTACAAGGTTCCATATCACAAAGGGAAAGCTGGAATTGAGTTTGTGGGTAATTGCCCGAAACGTTTAGAAATAAGGGGCCAAAAAGGGGCCAAAAATAAGCATTTTTCTAGTTTCCAGACAATAACTTGTGTTCAAGTGTATGGATCTCTCTGAAATTGTACCACAAGGTTCCATATCACACAGGGAATGCTTGAATTGATTTAGGGGGTAATTGCCCCAAAATTTTAGGAATTAGGGGCCAAAAAAGGGGCAAAAAACTAGCATTTTTCTAGTTTCATGACAATAACTTGTGTCTAAGTGTTTGTATATTTCTGAAATTATACTACAAGGTTCCATATCACAAAGGGAAAGCTGGAATTGAGTTTGGGGGTAATTGCCCGAAACATTTAGGAATTGGGGGCCAAAAAGGGGCAAAAAACCACATTTTTCTAGTTTCCAGACAATGACTTGTGTTCAAGTGTATGGATCTCTCTGAAATTGTACTGCAAGGTACCATACCACAAAGGGAAGGCTGGAATTGATTTAGGAGGTAATTGCCTCAATATTTTAGGAATTAGGGGCCAAAAAGGGGTAAAAAACAAGCATTTTTCTAGTTCCAGGACAATAACTTGTGTGTAAGTATATGGATCTTTCTGAAATTGTACTACAAGGTTCCATATCACAAAGGGAAGGCTGGGATTGAGTTTTGGGGTCATGAATCATAAGGGGGTTCAAAAAATTTGGGGGGGGGGGGGGATTTTTTTTTTTCCCTTTTTTTTTTCCTTTAAAATTTTCCATTTTAAGTTGGTTATTTCTGATTTATATTTAAAAGCAAATAATAATAATATGGTAGGAGATACACACCATACAGGATGTGTAAATTATTATATAATAAGTATTGTGCAATAGCAAGAAATTTTCAATTGCACAGTATTGCACAATAGCAAGAAATCTTCAATTGCATAGTATTGCGCAATAGCAAAAAATCTTCAATTGCACAGTATTGCGCAAAAGCAAGCAATATCCAATAGCACAATATTGCGCAATAGCAAGAAATTGTCAATTGTACAGTATTGCGCAATAGCAAGAAATATTCTTGTGCAAAAGAAGATACTTCGTATAAATTGCTTATTTCTTGACCAATTTCAATGGGGTTTTATTTTTGAATTCTTGTGGTTCTTTAATATGCTGAATCTAACCGTGTATTTGGATTTTGGGCCCCGTTTTTAAATTGGTCCACATTGAGGTCCAAAGGGTCCAAAATTAAACTTTGTTTGATTTCATCAAAAATTGAATTATCGGGGTTCTTTGATATGCCGAATCTAACCGTGTATTTAGATTCTTAATTTTTGGTTCCGCTTTCAAACTGGTCTACATTAAGGTCCAAAGGGTCCAAAATTAAACTTAGTTTGATTTTAACAAAAATTGAATTCTTAGGGTTCTTTGATATGCTGAATCTAAACATGAATTTAGATTTTTGATTATGGGCCCAGTTTTCAAGTTGGTCCAAATCGGGGTCCAAAATTAAACTTTGTTTGATTTCAACAAAAATTGAATATGTGGGGTTCTTTGATATGCTGAATCTAACCATGTATTTATATTTTTGATTTTTGGGCCCCGTTATCAACTTTGTCCACATTGAGGTCAAAAGGGTCCAAAATTAAACTTTGTTTGATTTCATCAAAAATTGAATTCTTGGGGTTCTTTGATATGCTGAATCTAACCATGTATTTAGATTTTGGATATTGGACCATAATAGGTGAATGTCCAATTTAAAATTTTTAAGTTCTTAGACCACATTCATTCTGTGTCAGAAACCTATGCTGTGTCAAATATTTAATCACAATCCAAATTCAGAGCTGTATCAAGCTTGAATGTTGTGTCCAAACTTGCCTCAACTGTTCAGGGTTCGACCTCTGCGGTCGTATCAAGCTGCGCCTGCGGAGCATTTTATTGGTTATTATCTTGAATATTATTATAGATAGAGATAAACTGTAAACAGCAATAATGTTCAGCAAAGTAAGATCTACAAATAAGTCGCATGACCAAAAATGTCAGTCAATCCCTTTAGGAGTTATTGCCCTTCATAGTCAATTTTTAACAATTTTTCGTAAATTTTTGTAATCTTTTACAAAAAATCTTCTTCTCTGAAACTACTGAGACAAATTTAACCATACTTGGCCTTAATCATTATTAGGGTATCTAGTTTAAAAAATTTGTCCAATGACCACACCTTCCAACCATCATGGCCGACATGGTTAAAAATAGAACATAGGGGTAAAATGCAGTTTTTGGTTTATATCTCTGAAACTAAAGCATTTAGAGGAAATCTGACAGGTGGCAAAAATGTTCATCAGATTTAGATTTATCTGCCATGAAATTTTCAGACGAATCCGACAACCCATGTTGGCTTGCTGTCCCTGAGTTAGTAATTTTACAGAAATTTTGCAGTTTTTTGTTAATATCTTAGATATCATTATAATATCTAATATCTAATACTATTAATTATGATTTTAACCTTATTTTACATGATTTCCAAAGCATCAGTAAATACAGGTGAGCGACACAGGCTCTTGAGAGCCTCTAGTTATTTTGGCAAAAAAAAGGGGGGTAAAAAAATTATTTTTCTTTGGGGGGGCAATACGCAACAGCATAATGTATTTCACAAAAGCAAAAAAAATGGGGGGTAATTTTTTTATTTTTTTGGGGGGGGGGGGGGGGGGGGGGGGTCAATTCGCAACAGCATAGTGTATTGCACAAAAGCCAAAAATTTAATATAAATTCAAATCATATAACCAATTCTACCGTAAGTTCTTTGACTACAGTTATTCAGTGTCAGAAACCTATCATGTGTAATATTTAATTACAATCCAAATTCAGACCTGTATCAAGCGCGAATATTGTGTCCATTTTCGCCACAACTGTTCAGGGTTGGACCTCTGCGGTCGTATCCAGCTGCGCTCAGCGAAGCATTTTATTGGGACTTAAGAATATCTAAAATTGTCCATTGCTAAATTACAGTTAAAAACTAGAAAAAGTCAGTTTCAAGCCCAAGAATGTCTTCTTTTTTATTAACAGGAACATCTGTTAAAAAACCTTGACCATTTAAATATTGCTCTCGAAAAAACACAGACAATATAAAATACTGAATTGTAAGTGAATTACAAGGAAATTGTGCAACGTTTGTGATCATAACATGTATAGCATTCAGAATAAGATGAATAAAAGTATTAAAGTCGCGAAATAGCAGTAAATTGATCTGATCGCATGCAATATCACTCGAAAAAACCTGATATTCACTAAAAAAAACACGATCTAAGCTGGACACTATACCTACCGTGATCTTCCTGAATGTTCCATATCATTTCACTACTTTTTTACCTGTAATTTTAAAAAGTGGGACAATCGGGAAGACACCTTTGAAGCAATATTATTATGCCTAACTGTATCCTCTGGCATGTTTTTCTACAGAGCAGTTTTATTTGCTTATGATTAAATGCCTTCTAAATATCACATTTTATTCTTACAACTATTTCAATGAGGGTGTATTATGCTTGTTTATATATATGCATGTATGCACTTGCCTATAATTTGTGTTAATATTTTTATGTATTTTCAGGGTAGATTTTCAATAGCAGCAAAACATCACATGTCTGTTGCAGAAATATATGAAACAGAGTTAGTTGATATAGATAAGGTAACTATAATATTATTTTATTCACACACCCTCATACAAAGACCCTTTTTAAGTCATCTGGGCTCTACCTGGCAAATAGAGCTTATTGAGCCATAACCATCACTTTATTACATTTTCATCATCTTCTTTGAAATCACATTGCGAGTTTGAACTACAGGCATTATTATAGGTGATGCAGGTAACAATTAACAATTCAAAAAATTTTTTTTTTTTAAATTTTGCAAATTTTACCAAATAATCAAAATTTTTAAATTCTGAAATGTGCTTTTAAAATTTAATAGTTTAAATATTTATCAAACTTTAAAAATACTTAACTAAACATGCAGTTTTGCCTCAACCAAATGTTATGAAACTTATACACTATGCTTATTACCACAAAACACAGATCAAGTTTAAATTTTGGTGGCATCACTTTTACCACTCTAGAGTTATGCCCCTTTACAAATAGAAAAATTGCTGAATTTTTTGTTGCCATTCTCTAACTTTAGTTTGCCTCAACCAAATGTTATGAAACTTATGCACAATGCTTATTACCACAAAACTCAGATCAAGTTAGAATTTTGGTGGCGTCACTTTTACTGTACTTGAGTTATGTCCCTTTATAACCTTATATGCAAGTGGGGGCATCATCTGTATCCCATGGACACATTCCCCATTTATTTTATACAGGTTCAAGTCTGTCAAGCATATACAAATTCTGTCAAGAAAGTACATCCACAAATATGATTATAGGAGATTGTCGAAATTGTAAATAAAAAAACATAGCTACATCAGCTGTACAGATTACCAGACCAACTAATGGATGAAAATTGTTATCAGCTTTTCGAGATCGAAAAGTTACACTTGGTCCACTCTGTGTTTTTATACGACCGCAACAAAATTTTTGTGGTCGTATATTGGTATGACGTTGGCGTCGTCGTAGTTGTCGTCGTCGTCGTCTGGCGTCGTCAGGCGTCGTCCGAAGACACATTGGTTTTCGCACTCTAACTTTAGTTTAAGTGAATGGATCTCTATGAAATTTTACCACAAGGTTCAATACCACAAAAGGAAGGTTGGGATTGATTTTGGGGGTTATGGTACCAACAGTAAAGGAATTAGGGGCCAAAAAGGGGCCAAAAATAAGCATTTTTGTAACTTCCAGACATAACTTGTGTGTTAGTGTATGGATCTCTCTGACATTGTACCACAAGGTTCCATACCACAAAAGGAAAGCTGGGATTGATTTTGGGGGTAATTGCCTCAAAATTTTAGGAATTAGGGGCCAAAAAAGGGGCAAAAGACAAGCATTTTTCTAGTTTCATGACAATTACTTGTGTGTAAGTGTATGGATCTTTCTGAAATTGTACTACAAGGTTCCATATCACAAAGGGAAAGCTGGAATTGAGTTTGGGGGTAATTGCCGAAACGTTTAGGAATTGGGGGCCAAAAAGGGGCCAAAAATAAGCATTTTTCTAGTTTCCAGACAATTACTTGTGTTCAAGTGTATGGATCTCTCTGAAATTGTACTGCAAGGTACCATACCACAAAGGGAAGGCTGGGATTGATGATGGGGGTAATTGCCTCAATATTTTAGGAATTTGGGGCAAAAAAGAGGCCAAAAAACACATTTTTCTAGTTTCGAGACAATAACTTGTGTGTAAGTGTATGGATCTCTCTGAAATTGTACTGCAAGGTACCATACCACAAAGGGAAGGCTGGGATTGAGTTTGGGTGTGATGAATCATAAGGGGGTTCAAAAAATTTGGGATGGGGGGGATTTTTTTTTCTCCTTTTTATACGACCGCAAAAATTGAAAATTTTTTGGTCGTATATTGGTATGACGTTGGCGTCGTCGTCCGGCGTCGTCTGGCGTCGTCCGAAGACACATTGGTTTTCGCACTCTAACTTTAGTTTAAGTGAATGGATCTCCATGAAATTTTACCATAAGGTTCAATACCATGAATGGAAGGTTGGGATTGATTTTGGGGGTTATGGTACCAACAGTTAAGGAATTAGGGGCCAAAAAGGGGCCAACAATAAGCATTTTTGTAACTTCCAGACAATAACTTGTGTGTAAGTGTATGGATCTCTCTGACATTGTACCACAAGGTTCCATATCACAAAGGGAAGGCTGTAATTGATTTTGGGGGTAATTGCCTCAAAATGTTAGGAATTAGGGGCCAAAAAAGGGGCAAAAAACAAGCATTTTTCTAGTTTCATGACAATAACTTGTGTGTAAGTGTTTGGATATTTCTGAAATTGTACTACAAGGTTCCATATCACAAAGGGAAAGCTGGAATTGAGTTTGGGGGTAATTGCCCGAAACGTTTAGGAATTGGGGCCAAAAAGGGGCCAAAAATAAGCATTTTTCTAGTTTCCAGACAATAACTTGTGTTCAAGTGTATGGATCTCTCTGAAATTGTACTGCAAGGTACCATACCACAAAGGGAAGGCTGAGATTGAGTTTGGGGGTGATGAATCATAAGGGGGTTCAAAAAATTTTGGGGGGGGATTTTTTTTTTTCTTTTTTTCCTTTTTTTTTTCTTTTAAAATTTTCCATTTTAAGTTGGTTATTTCTGATTTATATTTAAAAGCAAATAATAATGATATGGTAGGAGATACACACCAAACAGGATGTGTAAATTATTATATAATAAGTATTGTGCAATAGCAAGAAATTTTCAATTGCACAGTATTGCACAATAGCAAGAAATCTTCAATTGCACAGTATTGCGCAATAGCAAGAAATCTTCAATTGCACAGTATTGCGCAATAGCAAGAAATATCCAATAGCACAATATTGCGCAATAGCAAGAAATTGTCAATTGTACAGTATTGCGCAATAGCAAGAAATAATCAATTGCACAGTATTGTGCAAAAGAAGATACTTCTTATAAATTGCTTATTTCTTGATCAATTTCAATGGGGTTTTATTCTTGAATTCTTGGGGTTCTTTAATATGCTGAATCTAACCGTGTATTAAGTTTTTGGATTTTGGGCCCCGTTTTTAAATTGGTCCACATTGAGGTCCAAAGGGTCCAAAATTTAACTTTGTTTGATTTCATCAAAAATTGAATTATTGGGGTTCTTTGATATGCCGAATCTAACCGTGTATTTAGATTCTTAATTTTTGGTTCTGTTTTCAAATTGGGTCTACATAAAGGTCCAAAGGGTCCAAAATTAAACTTAGTTTGATTTCAACAAAAATTGAATATATGGGGTTCTTTGATATGCTGAATCTAACCATGTATTTAGATTTTTGATTATGGGCCCAGTTTTCAAGTTGGTCCAAAATGGGGTCCAAAATTAAACTTTGTTTGATTTCAACAAAAATTGAATATATGGGGTTCTTTGATATGCTGAATCTAACCATGTATTTAGATTTTTGATTATGGGCCCAGTTTTCAAGTTGGTCCAAATCGGGGTCCAAAATTAAACTTTGTTTGATTTCAACAAAAATTGAATATATGGGGTTCTTTGATATGCTGAATCTAACCATGTATTTAGATTTTTGATTGTTGGGCCCCGTTATCAACTTTGTCCACATTGAGATCAAAAGGGTCCAAAATTAAACTTTGTTTGATTTCATCAAAAATTGAATATATGGGGTTCTTTGATATGCTGAATCTAACCATGTATTTAGATTTTTGATTATGGGCCCAGTTTTCAAGTTGGTCCAAATCGGGGTCCAAAATTAAACTTTGTTTGATATCAACAAAAATTGAATATATGGGGTTCTTTGATATGCTGAATCTAACCATGTATTTAGATTTTTGATTATGGGCCCAGTTTTCAAGTTGGTCCAAATCGGGGTCCAAAATTAAACTTTGTTTGATTTCAACAAAAATTGAATATATGGGGTTCTGTAATATGCTGAATCTAACCGTGTATTAAGTTTTTGGATTTTGGGCCCCGTTTTTAAATTGGTCCACATTGAAGTCCAAAGGGTCCAAAATTTAACTTTGTTTGATTTCATCAAAAATTGAATTATTGGGGTTCTTTGATATGCCGAATCTAACCGTGTATTTAGATTCTTAATTTTTGGTTCCGTTTTCAAATTGGTCTACATAAAGGTCCAAAGGGTCCAAAATTAAACTTAGTTTGATTTTAACAAAAATTGAATTTTTAGGGTTCTTTGATATGCTGAATCTAAACATGTATTTAGATTTTTGATTATGGGCCCAGTTTTCAAGTTGGTCCAAATCGGGGTCCAAAATTAAACTTTGTTTGATTTCAACAAAAATTGAATATATGGGGTTCTTTGATATGCTGAATCTAACCATGTATTTAGATTTTTGATTTTTGGGCCCTGTTATCATTTTTGTCCACATTGAGATCAAAAGGGTCCAAAATTAAACTTTGTTTGATTTCATCAAAAATTGAATTCTTGGGGTTCTTTGATATGCTGAATCTAACCATGTATTTAGATTTTGGATATTGGACCATAATAGGTGAATGTCCAATTTAAAATTTTTAAGTTCTTAGACCACATTCATTCTGTGTCAGAAACCTATGCTGTGTCAAATATTTAATCACAATCCAAATTCAGAGCTGTATCAAGCTTGAATGTTGTGTCCATACTTGCCCCAACTGTTCAGGGTTCGACCTCTGCGGTCGTATCAAGCTGCGCCCTGCGGAGCATTTTATTTTTCTTTTTTCCTATATTTTCTTTTAAAATTTTCCATTTTAAGTTGGTTATTTCTGATTTTTATTTAAAAGCAAATAATAATGATATGGTAGGAGATACACACCAAACAGGATGTGTAAATTATTATATAATAAGTATTGTGCAATAGCAAGAAATTTTCAATTGCACAGTATTGCACAATAGCAAGTAATCTTCAATTCCACAGTATTGCGCAATAGCAAGAAATCTTCAATTGCACAGCATTGCGCAATAGCAAGAAATATCCAATAGCACAATATTGCGCAATAGCAAGAAATTGTCAATTGTACAGTATTGCGCAATAGCAAGAAATATTTAATTGCACAGTATTGTGCAAATGAAGATACTTCGTATAAATTGCTTATTTCTTGACCAATTTCAATGGGGTTTTATTCTTGAATTCTTGGGGTTCTTTAATATGCTGAATCTAACCGTGTATTTAGTTTTTGGATTTTGGGCCAAGTTTTTAAATTGGTCCACATTGAGGTCCAAAGGGTCCAAAATTAAACTTTGTTTGATTTCATCAAAAATTGAATTATTGGGGTTCTTTGATATGCCGAATCTAACCGTGTATTTAGATTCTTAATTTTTGGTTCCGTTTCTAAATAAGTCTACATTAAGGTCCAAAGGGTCCAAAATTAAACTTAGTTTGATTTTAACAAAAATTGAATTCGTAGGGTTCTTTGATATACTGAATCTAAACATGTATTTAGATTTTTGATTATGGGCCCAGTTTTCAAGTTGGTCCAAATCGGGGTCCAAAATTAAACTTTGTTTGATTTCAACAAAAATTGAATATATGGGGTTCTTTGATATGCTGAATCTAACCATGTATTTAGATTTTTGATTTTTGGGCCCCGTTATTAACTTTGTCCACATTCAGGTCGAAAGGGTCCAAAATTAAACTTTGTTTGATTTCATCAAAAATTGAATTCTTGGGGTTCTTTGATATGCTGAATCTAACCATGTATTTAGATTTTGGATATTGGACCATAATAGGTGAATGTCCAATTTAAAATTTTTAAGTTCTTAGACCACATTCATTCTGTGTCAGAAACCTATGCTGTGTCAAATATTTAATCACAATCCAAATGCAAAGCTGTATCAAGCTTGAATGTTGTGTCCATACTTGCCCCAACTGTTCAGGGTTCGACCTCTGCGGTCGTATCAAGCTGCCCCCTGCGGAGCATTTTATTGTTAGATGTATTTCTATATGTATCCATCTGATGATTAAGCCTTTTTCAACTGATTTTTATGCCCACGCCATAGCGGAGGGGGCATTAAGTTTTAACCTTGTCCGTCTGTAAGTACGTACGTACATCCGTACGTCCCAAAATTGGTTTCTGTTCTCTTACTTGAGTTTGCCTAAACAAAATGGTATGAAACTTATACACAATGCTTATTACTACGAAATACAGATCAAGTTTGAATTTTGGTGGCGTCACTTTAACCGTTCTAGAGTTATGCCCCTAAATTAATGGAAAAATTCCAAAATTTTTAGTTTCCGTTCTCTAACTAAAGTTTGCCTCAACCAAATGTTATGAAACTTATACACAATGCAAGTTTTGGTGATTAGGTCAGTTTTTCAGTAACTGTACATGGAAGGTCAATGAGTTTGTCACCTGTCACCCATCCTTAGACATATTTTCACGGTCCAGTGAGGAGGTATAGTTTTTATGATTAGGTCAGTTTCTCAGTAACTATACATGGTAGGTCGATGATATTTGTTCTGTGGATTCATCTGAAGGTACTAAGTAGACAGAATATGGGATATATACCAAAAATACAAAACTTTATAGTCTGACATCTGTCATCTGACCCTATACCCAATTTCACAGTCTTTGATCATGTAAAGCTTTCCTGATATTTTTATATTTAGATACTACAAGCAATATTTGGTATATGGAAAAAATTAAACTGGCGAGACATTTCAGCATATGCACTCTGGTTTCCTTGTACATATGAAGTTTAATATCAACCAACAGACATCCTTTTTGGTTAGACATGAAATCATAACTTGAATATGTATATAAAGCAAGCTAATATTTAGAATTACTGGTTTTTACTACCATACATAATTATGAGTACCAATAAACGTTGATTTTAGCCTTTAAATGTTTATTTCAAAATAAAGAATAAGGCATTTTCTCTCCACATACAGACGAAAAACACGTCCTGAAATTCTTCCATAGAATCAACATGCACATATCCCTACTTCAACTGGAACTTTACTACATTCTTCATTCCTGCATTGTTTACTCATTCATCAGCAATAAAATATCAACAAAAACGTTATTTTTGTCATCAATTCTATTCTAGTCCACAATGTTAGAGAAAGGTCTATGTGCATCTTCTGTCCATTGTTGAAGATGCAAATAGACCTAGGTGAGCCACATTGGCTCTTTAGAGCCTCTAGTTATATGAACAAAAACATCAGTTAACAGTCAAATTTATCATAACTTATTCTTGCCTGCTTTCTCACCTGCAACAAAAGTCACAGAAATTTAGACATAGGGATGCTAATCAGGTGGCCATGCAGCCGTGTTAACTATTTGTATAAAGCTTCATATTTCAAAAGGCAAACGACCTGGATGCTTCATACCTTATAAATGCCCTATGTTGCAAAGTCAGTTATATGTCCAGTTTCCACTATCTCATTTTCATGCTTGAGCGACTGCTTATATAAACTAGTTTTTTGTCATGTGAATTTCTCACTTATTATGAGTAATAGGATAATAATATATTTGTATATGGGATCCTCGAAGGTCTATATGTCAGAGTTTACCTTAACTTGACCTTATTTCATGGATCAGTGATCGAGGTTATAGTTTAGTGATTAGGTTGTTTCTCAGTTTTATAAGCAGTAGATCATACATATTTTTTGTATGGAATGATCGTAAGATGTACATATCCTTCTGGCAGGTTCCATCTGACCTTGACCTATTTTTCATGGTTCATTAGCTAGCATTAAGTTTTTGTGTTTTAATCTGTTTCTTGGATACTATAAGCAATAGGTCAACTATATTTGGGTAACATTTGAATGATTTTAAGGTGTACATATCTGTCTGGCATGATTCATCTGACCTTCACCTCACTTTCATGGTTAAGTTTTCATGATTTGATACGTTTCTCAGTTACTGTTCGCAATAGGTCTACTATATTTAGTGTATAGAAGGATTGTAAGGTGTTCATCTGTGGTGTATATACAAATGTATGTCTGTCAGGGTTCATCTGACCTTGACCTCATTTACATTAGTCTTTTACAATGTTCAGTTTAAGTGATAACAAATGTCAAGTATAAAGCATGGTTCTAAAAGATGGCTGATTTCAGGGGACAGGAGGATAAATATTACAGACATGGAAAATATCAACATGTGCAAACCAGTCTGAAATTCAAATAATCAGTGTAATAATGTGTAAATTAATCTTTATTGTAGGCAATAACAAATTATGAACAAGCTGCTGATTACTTCAAAGGAGAAGAATCGAACAGGTTTGTAGCATAGCAGATATGTGTTCTGTTTATAGGAATTGCTCTTTAACCACAATTATTGACCTTTGATTTTCATTGTCTACAGATATAGTTCCTAGTGTGTATTTCACCTAAAAAAAGATTCAGACACCTTACCAATATATTCACGTTGTATGTCTTAAAAAACAAGAAGGAGATGAAAGTACTCAGTATCAAAATTTGAGAAATGCATTTGAAGGTAAAATAGTGATTTGGTTTAGTTGAAAAAGGTAGAAAAAAAATAGTATGTCTGAAGCTGTCATACTGAATTAAAGTCCTCATCAACATAAGATTGTTCATAGCATTATATTTCAGTAAATTGTCATCAGGGGTTAAGGAGGAGTTTCTGATACAAAATTGGTACCCTCAGATAAAGCAATAGCAAATTCCATATAAAAGCAACAGTGTAGTGTTTAAATCATTTTTTATACGACCGCAAAAATTGAAAATTTTTTGGTCGTATATTGGTATGACGTTGGCGTCGTCGTCGTCGTCGTTGTCGTCGTCGTCGTCGTCGTCCGGCGTCGTCCGAAGACACATTGGTTTTCGCACTCTAACTTTAGTTTAAGTGAATGGATCTCCATGAAATTATACCATAAGGTTCAATACCACGAAAGGAAGGTTGGGATTGATTTTGGGGGTTATGGTACCAACAGTTAAGGAATTAGGGGCCAAAAAGGGGCCAAAAATAAGCTTTTTGTAACTTCCAGACAATAACTTGTGTGTAAGTGTATGGATCTCTCTGACATTGTACCACAAGGTTCCATATCACAAAGGGAAGGCTGTAATTGATTTTGGGGGTAATTGCCTCAAAATTTTAGGAATTAGGGGCCAAAAAAGGGGCAAAAAACAAGCATTTTTCTAGTTTCATGACAATAACTTGTGTGTAAGTGTTTGGATATTTCTGAAATTGTACTACAAGGTTCCATATCACAAAGGGAAAGCTGGAATTGAGTTTGTGGGTAATTGCCCGAAACGTTTATGAATAGGGGGCCAAAAAGGGGCCAAAAATAAGCATTTTTCTAGTTTCCAGACAATAACTTGTGTTCAAGTGTATGGATCTCTCTGAAATTGTACTGCAAGGTACCATACCACAAAGGGAAGGCTGGGATTGAGTTTGGGGGTGATGAATCATAAGGGGGTTCAAAAAATTTGGGGGGGGGGGGATTTTTTTTTTTTTTCTTTTTTTTTTCTTTTTTTCCTTTTTTTTTTTCTTTTAAAATTTTCCATTTTAAGTTGGTTATTTCTGATTAATATTTAAAAGCAAATAATAATGATATGGTAGGAGATACACACCAAACAGGATGTGTAAATTATTATATAATAAGTATTGTGCAATAGCAAGAAATTTTCAATTGCACAGTATTGCACAATAGCAAGAAATCTTCAATTGCACAGTATTGCGCAATAGCAAGAAATCTTCAATTGCACAGTATTGCGCAATAGCAAGAAATATCCAATAGCACAATATTGCGCAATAGCAAGAAATTGTCAATTGTACAGTATTGCACAATAGCAAGAAATATTCAATTGCACAGTATTGTGCAAAAGAAGATACTTCGTATAAATTACTTATTTCTTGATCAATTTCAATGGGGTTTTATTCTTGAATTCTTGGGGTTCTTTAATATGCTGAATCTAACCAAGTATTAAGTTTTTGGATTTTGGGCCCCGTTTTTAAATTGGTCCACATTGAGGTCCAAAGGGTCCAAAATTTAACTTTGTTTGATTTCATCAAAAATTGAATTATTGGGGTTCTTTGATATGCCGAATCTAACCATGTATTTAGATTCTTAATTTTTGGTTCCGTTTTCAAATTGGTCTACATTAAGGTCAAAAGGGTCCAAAATTAAACTTAGTTTGATTTTAACAAAAATTGAATTTTTAGGGTTCTTTGATATGCTGAATCTAAACATGTATTTAGATTTTTGATTTTTGGGCCCCATTATCAACTTTGTGCACATTGAGGTCAAAAGGGTCCAAAATTAAACTTTGTTTGATTTCATCAAAAATTGAATTCTTGGGGTTCTTTGATATGCTGAATCTAACCATGTATTTAGATTTTTTATTTGTGGACCCGCTATCAAATTGGTTCATATTGAGGTCAAAAGGGTCCAAAATTAAACTTTGTTTGATTTCATCAAAAATTGAATTATTGGGGTTCTTTGATATGCCAAATCTAACCGTGTATTTAGATTTTTAATTTTGGGTCCCGTTTTTAAATTGGTCTACATTAAGGTCCAAAGGGTCCAAAATTAAACTTAGTTTGATTTTAACAAAAATTGAATTCTTGGGGTTCTTTGATATGCTGAATCTAAACATGTGTTTAGATTTTTGATTATGAGCCCAGTTTTCAAGTTGGTCCAAGTTGGGGTCCAAAATTAAACTTTGTTTGATTTCAACAAAAATTGAATATATGGGGTTCTTTGATATGCTGAATCTAAACATGTATTTAGATTTTAGATTTTTGGCCCAGTTTTCAAGTTGGTCCAAATTGGGGTCCAAAATTAAACTTTGTTTGATTTCAACAAAAATTGAATATATGGGGTTCTTTGATATGCTGAATCTTACCATGTATTTAGATTTTTTATTTGTGGGCCAGCTATCAAATTGGTTCATATTGAGGTCAAAAGGGTCCAAAATTAAACTTTGTTTGATTTCATCAAAAATTTAATTATTGGGGTTCTTTGATATGCCAAATCTAACCGTGTATTTAGATTTTTAATTTTGGGTCCCGTTTTTTAAATTGGTCTACATTAAGGTCCAATGGGTCCAAAATTAAACTTAGTTTGATTTTAACAAAAATTGAATTTTTGGGGTTCTTTGATATGCCAAATCTAAACATGTGTTTAGATTTTTGATTATGGGACCAGTTTTCAAGTTGGTCCAAGTTGGGGTCCAAAATTAAACTTTGTTTGATTTCAACAAAAATTGAATATATGGGGTTCTTTGATATGCTGAATCTAAACATGTATTTAGATTTTAGATTTTTGGCCCAGTTTTCAAGTTGGTCCAAATTGGGGTCCAAAATTAAACTTTGTTTGATTTCAACAAAAATTGAATATATGGGGTTCTTTGATATGCTGAATCTTACCATGTATTTAGATTTTTTATTTTGTGGGCCCGCTATCAAATTGGTTCATATTGAGGTCAAAAGGGTCCAAAATTAAACTTTGTTTGATTTCATCAAAAATTGAATTATTGGGGTTCTTTGATATGCCAAATCTAACCGTGTTTTTAGATTTTTAATTTTGGGTCCCGTTTTTTTAAATTGGTCTACATTAAGGTCCAAAGGGTCCAAAATTAAACTTAGTTTGATTTTAACAAAAATTGAATTCTTGGGGTACTTTGATATGCTGAATCTAAACATGTGTTTAGATTTTTGATTATGGGACCAGTTTTCAAGTTTGTCCAAGTTGGGGTCCAAAATTAAACTTTGTTTGATTTCAACAAAAATTGAATATATGGGGTTCTTTGATATGCTGAATCTAACCATGTATTTTGATTTTGGGCATTGGACCATAATAGGTAAATTAAAAAAATTGAAGTTCTTAGACCACATTCTTTCTGTGTCAGAAACCTATGCTGTGTCAAATATTTAATCACAATCCAAATTCAGAGCTGTATCAAGCTTGAATGTTGTGTCCATACTTGCCCCAACTGTTCAGGGTTCGACCTCTGCGGTCGTATCAAGCTGCGCCCAGCGAAGCATTTTATTTATTGATGTATTTTGCATTTTTAGATGTTAACCAATTGCTTAAAATGTTTTAAATAGATTACATAGAAAATTTGCGTTTTCATCATCTCTATATTTTTATGGCCCCGCCGACTTAGGTCGGGGCCATATCGTCTAAATGCCTTCACATATTGAGCTGATTTTAAGATTGCGAGTCTATTATGATGAGTTACACAACGAGTTTATGTTTGGTTCCGCTCTGCTAAATTTTGCTGAAATTATGGGCTTTGGACTTAAAAATTTCTTGAAAATAACAGTTAAACAAACTTTTTTTTCTAAACGCCTTCACATATTGAGCTGATTTTTAACCGGATTTTTGAAGGAAATATCGGTTATTAAAATGGTAATATACGGCAGGCGGCTGGGCGGTTTGGCGGCTGCCAAACAGTGTCCGCACAATAACATGAAAACGCTTTAACAAATTTTTTTCAAATTAAAATATGTTGTTTCCTGGGACTTAATGAAGGTCTCTATTAATTTTCAAGATTTTAGTATATCTCCTTTGTGAGTTATCGCCATTTTTAATATCCAAAAGTAGAATTTTTAAATATTTTACTGGTGTTATTATGTTATGATTTGTCTTATCTCAGAATAAAAATTTGAGTGACAGATTTATTTGAAAATTATCTATTTCCTAAGTGGTAATGATTATAAGCTATATCATTAGACATTTTGAAGATTATTACATTATTAATTATGTTAGAGTACTATGTTAAACAACCATAGTTCTGTTTAATTAGATATTATAAATATTTCAGCATATGATAATGATTTTTCATTATTAATTAGATCTTTGAAATATTTTAGCATATGATAATCATTGGAGTGACAGATTTATTTGAAAATTTTCTGTTTTCTGATAAGATCTGTAGGACTGTATATATACAGTTTGAAACTTACTAGTATTACTGTATAAATGAAGTTTCGAATTTACTGTTCATTATTAGACATTTTGTAGATAATTAAGTGTCCGTTAATCATATATATTCTTACCCCTACCCCCCCTTCAATTTGATAATGTGCTTTTATCTTGTAAACGGTTGAGATCCCTACTCCTAAACCATATATATTCTTGTATGGGACAATAAAACAAATCAAATGAAATATTGGGATAGTCCTCGGGTTCACAGCTACCCTCCTTTTTTTTGAAAACTTGTAAATGTGCAAGCTCCCCACCCTGAAACCATATATATTTTTGTATGTTACAAATCAAATGAAATAAAAGGTGAGTCCCCTGGGGTCACCC